AGGCAGCGGCTGCGGCTCGGAGGAGCTCAGATACTTGGGAGCCGCTGCGTGCTGGACCCTGGGGCCGGGCAAAATCCCCCCCAGCTCTCGGCAAGAGCCCGGCACGGGGGCCTTGGCCGTGGCGGGGGCGGCGTGGGCCCCCCCCCCCCACCCCCCGTAGGAGAAGTGAGTTGGTTTGTTTTATTTCTCCTCTCTCTGGCTCTGTCTCTGTCTCTCCTCCTTCTCTCGCTCTTTCTTTCTCTCTTGCATTTTTGTGAATCTAATGATGCACTTATATTGCCCCGCTTTTCCCTTCTCTTCATACCTTACCTACTAAAGGAGGAAATGCCACTTTTTTGGTAAGTGGATGTTAACCAAGAGGGATGTAAAAAAAAAAAAAAAAAAAGCATATAATGGAAAAAAAAAAAAAAAAGGAAGCAGAAAGCAAAGTCTGTGTTGAGTGCTGATGAGGACTTAGCAGTTCCCTGCAGAGTCACAGCTAACAGCTCAATGCGTGTCCCAGGAAGAGCTCAGAGACATTCGTTTATCTCAGTAACGAGGACATTTGTGAAGTTTTTGCTTTGTCGTTTTTTTTTTTTTTTTTTTAAATTTTATTTCATTTTATTTGGATGGTTTTTCTTCTTTCTTTTTTTGGTTTCTTTTTGCCTTCTCGCCCCTGGCCCCCCGCCCCCCTGCCTTGCCCTCCATTGTCGCTCTGTGCCGTCCTCCTCGTTTCTTGATTTGTTTTAAGCCGAAAGCCGTACTATCTATAAAAACTACACATATCTGAACATATATCTCTCTCTATATGTGCATGCCTCTGTGTGAGCAGACCCCCCCATCACCTCCAGCCCTCTTTGGTTCGGCCCCTTCCCCTCGGCTCAGTCTGATTTACTCTCCCCCACCTCCCCACCTTCCCTCCTCTCATCTTTTCTTTTTTCCCCCCATTTTTCTCCCTTCGTTTGGGTTTTACCCCCCTTTTCCCTTCTCCTTTCTTGGTCGGGGCGGGTGGGCACCGGGGTTTGCTTTATCCCCGCTCCAGGTGTT